AATAAAAAGCTACAATAAGATTAACAACATTGACTTCACTCACTGCTGAGTAAAGGAAAACACTTGGGCTTTCTATGTTAATTACATGTACAGGGTTCCCCAGTATGAGTTCTCTGATGTTGCTTCCTAAGGGTTGAGCTATGTCTAAAGCCTTTCCCTGACTACCTCCATTTTTTTCCTTCCCAGTGTGCATTCTGTGTTGCTGAATAAGAGAGGAGCAAAGTGTGAAAGAGTACATTTAGAGGATTTTTCTCCAGTATAAGTACAGAAATATACTAAAATAAATATTTCTCAGGAAAAGTTCTCCCACCTTCAACCCACTTGAAGGGTATGTGTCCTGAGTTACTTATAGTTCAAAGGGGTTTGTGTCTTCTAAGACTTCTCTACATTATTATACTTACATGATTTCTTTCCAGTATGACTTCTCTGCAGTTACAAACTATATAACATGAAGAGATTTTCCAAACTCAGTATGTTTGCAGAATTTGTCACTGGTTTGAGTTCTGTTAAAGACAGCAGGACCTCTGCACATTCCTTACATTTAATTCATACTATTGTGTGAATTATCTGCCATCTACTGAAGTTTATGTTGCCTTTAAATTTTTGTGTCATATATATTATTTTTAAGGCAGAATTTTTTTTTTATTCGTAAGTGGATACAATGTTTGGGTCATTTCTCCCCCCTTCCCCCACCCCCTCCCTTACCCTCTTGCCCCCTTCCTCTCCCCCCCACCCCCTCGATACCCGGCAGAAACTATTTTGCCCTTATCTCTAATTTTGTTGAAGAAAGAGTATAAGCAATAATAGGAAGGACCAAGGGTTTTTGCTAGTTGAGATAAGGACAGCTATATAGGGAGTTGACTCGCATTGATTTCCTGTGCATGTGTATTACCTTCTAGGTTAATTCTTCTTGATCTAACCTTTTCTCTAGTTCCTGGTCTCCTTCTCCTATTGGCCTCAGTTGCTTTAAAGTATCTGTTTAGTTTCTCTGCAATCACATATATTTCATTTATGAGGTTTTTCTTCACTGAACTGTTTGCAGGTTTAAGAAGTTGAGTGCATTGCAAAAAATTTCCATAATTAGTATTTTCGGGGTTTTAACTTCTGAATTTATGGTAATAGTTGTATAATATGTCTTGTATCTCGTTGGTAGGACTATTTTTATAGTGGAAGAAGAATCAGGTTCTAATTAACTTTCTCCCTAAGATTTTTATTCTTGCATTTTTCCCAGAATCAGCCTTTCCACAATCATTAGTTCTTCCCATCTGTTTTGGTCTTTCTATATGTGAGCCTCATGGTCTTGGTGGCACAGACAAGGAGACCTGTGAAGAGAATAGCAATCACTTGGGGAAGTGACACTGAGTATGGAGGGCACAGGTGATCTTTGTCATAAACATTAAGGAAAAGGACCCAATTTTCTTGCATGGTTGAATGTGTGACCTAGGATAAGGGTGCTTGTTTAAAACAATCAAGAATACTACTTTCTATCCTTCCACTGTGCTGACACAGTCACTCATGAGTACTCATTCAAGGGCTTTGTTTTGTCATTTTTTTGGTCACTGTGGAGAATACCTGAAATAAACAAGTTAAGTGTCCAGGAATCAGAGGGGTGGGGTGGGGATGAGAATGAGGGAGGGATAAACTGTACAGTTCAATGTATTCTACACACAGTTCTATAGCCACCAACACAATTAAGAAAGAGAACATTTTCATCCAACTAAAAGTTCCTTGTGTTTCTTTGTAGCTGATTTCCAATCCCTACCCAGGATCCTGGCAACCCAAATCTGCTTTCTGACAGTAGTTTTATCTATTGTAAAATTTCTTGTTATTTCTTGTGTTGTTCAAGATAAAGTAGGGCCTATAGCCTATCTCTTCTACTGACTACAACTGAAATCTCTTGATATAATACAAAGACAACTACAAACTCTGAAAATAAGACAGTATCATTGCAAAGATCTCTGATTTTAATTTAATTAATGATCTGTATTTAATGCATGTGTAGTCTACTGTTTCTCCCAGTTTTGACACAAGAGCAGGTCAAATTCTAGAAACGTGTAATAGGCACAGACAGCAGAACTCGACATCCCTCCTAGAAGCTTTAGTTGACCAAAGAGCTTAAGGGGAATTCTGTTAGTTTTTTTCCATTCTTTTCATCCCCTATATCATATTGAAGACATACCCCATTGCATGAACTGCACAACCACATGGGGCTAAACCCTTGACAGAAACTCTCTCTGAGAACAATAGCCTAGAAAATGGACTGCTGCTGACTGAAGAACATGAGGGAAATACAAATTATCCTTTCTCTTTGTGCCCCTCTTTGGTATTCAGGGTTAGGCTTTTGGAAAGTGATTGAATCATGGGGGTTCTGGCTTCACTAGATTAATCCATTAATGGATTCAAGATTTTAATAGACTATTGGGAGGTGGTAGAACTGTGGAAGTTGGAGCCTAGTTGGGGGATGTAGATCAGTGGGGGGCATGCCCTGAAAAGATATACTTTGTTCCTGGCCCCTTCCTGTACTCTTTCTGTTGTTTGACTGAGGTGAGCAACTTTGCTCCACACCCTTCCACAATGATGTTCTGCCCCCACCATGGCCTGGAAACCAGAGTCGGCCAACTATGGACTGAAACCTCTGAGATCAAGAGCCAAAATAAATCCTCCTTCCTCTAAACTGTTAACTCTCAGGTCTTTGCCAGAGTAGTGAAAATCTGACTAACACAGATAACATACTAAGATGGCAGGTCTAAATTCAATCTTTTGATAATTACAAACAAATGCACAAAACCAAGACCTAACTGTATGCTATCTATAAGGATTCTACTTTATAATGATAGAGGTAAGTTAAAGGAAAGAGTACAGGAAAATATCCATGGCAAATACTAATCAGAAGAAAGCTGCAGTGGCTATGTAATTATCTCAGTAAACTTCAGAGCAAGGAAAGTCGCCAGGCATGAGAAAGGTTATTACATAATTATAAAAGGTCAAGTTCAAGATACACAGATATATATATATATATATATATATATATATATATATCTCCAATGACAGAGCTTTAAGAAAGAGGTAAAAACTGATAGACTTAAAAGAGAAATGCATTCATAATTATAGGTGTAGATACAGAAAACACAAAAAACTATACCAAGGCTGGGATTCTAGCTCAGTTAAAGTAGGTACTTAGCATGTAGGAGGGCCTGGAGATCAATCCCTACCCTCCCCCCGAAAAAAAGCAAACAACCAACATAAAAACCAAACAAGTCCCACTTCTCTCATTTGTGATTCGCCTGTATCCTAAACCTCATTTCTGGTCTCTCATTTCCTTTCCTACACTCTACAAAAACTGAGTCACAATACTGTGTAACCTTGTTTTGCTCAGTGTATGGCAAACTTAGTGTGACCTTTTTCCTGAACGTTAAAAAATTTTAGTTTTACAAAAAAAATTGCAAAAATAGTACTTCCTATACATCTTTCACTAATGTTAACATTTTATATAATTTCCCATATTTGGGAAATTAAAAATTGGCTTAATGCTAATTGAACTAGGAAGCTAGGAAAATAACCATTGGGTCAATTCTAATGACTTAATCACAGACTTTATTTGAATTTACCAGTTTTGACCCTAATATCTCTTTTTGGTTCTAGGAGCCCCACACACATTTGTTTTTCATACCTCCCTAGTCTTCAATCTATAACAGTTACTCAGGCTTTCCTCTTTTTTTTTTTTATTGGAGATTGAACACAGGGCCTCAGGTTTGCAAGCCAGGAGCTCTACCACTTGAACTACACCTCCAGTTTATTTTGCTCTGGATATTTTGGAGATGGGATTTCTGAACTATTTGCCCAGGAAGGCCCTGATCTCTGTCTCCCAAGTGCTAGGATTACAGATGTGAACCAAGTGCCTGGCTTAAGTGATTATTGTTTGTTTTTTTGATGGTACTGGAGATTGAACTCAGGGCCTCAGGCTTGCTAGGGAGCACTCTACCACTTGAGCCACACCCTATCCATTTTACTGTCTTCATCTTTGATACCGTTGGATTGTAGGGCTCAGTTATTTTGTAGGCTATTTGGCAATTTTCACGATTGCAGTAATGTGTTTTTTGAGAAGAATGCCACAAAAGTGGTAGTTTAACACGATGCCTTCCAGGTTTCTCCACTGTTAAAGCTACTTTTTCTTTTTATTAAAAATATGTATCAGCGGAGATTAAGAATCACTTCACCCTTTACCCAGGATGTGCTTGCTGGGTAGCGGGCATATGGGTATTTGTTTCTGTATTTATCTGAAATTTTGTTACTGAAGTGATTGTATTTTATATGCACACGTGCATAAATTGACATTTTCCAAGCACATTTTTTTACTGCTCATTATTGATTTTAGATGTTTATTTTTTTAGCACATTCATTTTTATTAATAATTTCTAGAATCTTTTAAATTGTTTTTCCCCTTTTTGGGTTATTTTTGTCTTTTCTCCTTAATTTCTAGAATACTTAACTGTCCTATTCTAAAAATGCATGGCTTGTTTTATAAATATAATTACATTATTGATAAATAATGAGGGGGTACTTAGTTGAGTTTTAACATTTTTCTCGAAATAAGCAACTACGCTGGAAAAATACTTTGGCAGATTAAACAGTAAATAAAACTAAGGCTCTACAGGAAAAATAAAAATAAAAAAGATGGTCTGGCATTAAAACCACGGGAGAAGGCTGGCATGGGAAGACTTTCGGAGCCCCAAATCGCGACTTGCCTCGGCCACATAGCGAGACGATCCTAAAACAAAAACTCAAGGAGAAACGAAACACTGGCGAGCGTACAAAGACACACAGCTACGGTTAGAAAAAAACCCCGGAAGGATGGCTTTCCTTCCGCTCCCACCGTGACAGCCGCGGGTCAAAAGTTCCGACCCTTCTTGTTTCTTACCCGGCGCCCGGTGGCCACTGAACCGGCCTGGAAGAGCACATCCGGGTACAGGCGCAAGCGCACGCGCAGTCTCTGAGAGCATGGCTGCCGCCGATCGCCCACAGTGAGTCTCGCCGCGCCCCCCTAGCTCGTTGGTGCCTGTTTCCCTCCAAAGGGCAGCGGGGAGGGAGAGCCTCCGGCTGCCCTGTGGGTGGTGGGCGGTGCGTCTGTATGCGGGTTTCATGCGGGTAGTGAGTGTGGCTGGCCCGGGACGCAGCTGTCTCCGCGGGTGTAGACGGCTCCAGGCGGGTGGGTTTGCTCCCCGGTGGGTGTGGACTCTATGCCGCAACTCCAGTGGGTGAGATGGCCCTGGCTTTTTTCCTAGCGTGGCCGTGGGTTCCGCCCGGCTTTCTGCAGGCGCCGGGGCTGCTCTGGGCCTAAGCTCCTTCTCTGCCCGCGTCTATCCGTCTCGCGAGGAATTGGCTGCCGGGCGTCACTGGGCGGGATCGTCTTTCACTGTGTCCTGAAGGTGGAGAACACCACCTGGGAAGACTCTTTAACTAGGATTTGCAAAATCCTGATTTACTGCAGTGCCCAGTGGAGGCAGTGTTTCCCATCTGCTTAGTAGCTGTTTTCTCAGTCTTTAGTTTGAATGGTTTATTTCCTTGTAAAAATGTTTTGAAAACCACGCTCTTCGACTTTTTTTAAATCCCAGTAAATAACTTTGCTCCATTCTGTTTATTTCCCTCTTCCCCTTTTTCTCCACCAAGCTTTTTTATTTTGAAGTTTCATGCCTGTAGGAATGGAGGCAGGCGCCAGTGGCTCTCTCCTGTAATCCTAGCTACTTGGGATGCTGAGATTGGGAGGATCGTAGTTTGAGGCTAGCCTGGGCAAATACTTGGCGAGATCTTATCTCCAAAATAACCAGAGCAAAATGGACTGGGACTGTGGCTCAGGCAGCTTCCACTGCTTTGCAAGTTGGAGTCCTGAGTTCAAACCCCAGTTCAACCAAAAAAAAAAAATTGCAGGAATAGTATAGTGAACACTTGTAAAAACCATTCAACCATTAGCTTTACCTTTTTCCTCTCTGATACACAGTTAGTGTAGCACAGGCGGGTGTGACACGGGCATATATTTTTTGCCTGAATTACTGGAAGTAATATTCTTGATATCATGACTGTACACCTTGAAATATTTTTGCTTGGATTTCCTAAGAATATGAACATTCTTCAACAAAACTATAACTGTTATTGCACCCAACGATTTTATTATTGATGAAAAGCTCTTGTCTAATACACAATCTGTTGCTTCTTTTTCCAATCCAAGATCATGTGTTGCATTGCTGAATTTTGACTCTTCAGCCTTTAATATTACTGTCCTTGCTTTTTAAACTTCCATGACTTTGATTTTTTTTGTGGTATTGGTGTTTGAACTCAGGGCCTCACTCTTGCTAAGCTGGTGCTCTACCACTTGATCCACTCTGCCAGCCCTGTTTTTTGTTGGGTGTTTTTGAGATAGGGTCTTGTGAATTATTTGCCTGGGCTAGCTGTGATACTCCTGATCTCTGCCTCCTGAGTAGTTAGCATTACAGATGTGAGCACTTTGTTGGTTTTTTTAAAGACCCAAATGGTTATATTGGAGGTTGTTCTTCAGTGCTCAATATTGTCATGATTAAATTCAGGTACTCCATCTTTTCAGGAAATTACCTAAGTGAAATCATGTTCTTGGTGCATTATATCAGGAGGCATGTGGTCAAACTTTGGCCATGTTGTTAAAGTACTGTCAGGACTCTCCTTTCCACTTCATAATTGGTAAATCATTCATGGATGTTTCAAATCTTTCTATTTTGTGCTCTGTGTGTGTGTATGTGTATATGTGTATGTGTGTAGTTTCTGGAGTAATTGGGATTGAGCCCAGGGGTCTTATATATGCTAGACAAACACTCTACCACTGAGCTACATTCCCAACCCTTTTTGAGCCTGGTTCTTGCTGCCCAATTCTCCTGCTTCAGCTTCCCCAGTGCTTGGATTACAGGCATGACCCATCATACCCAGCCCAGAAATTATTCTTTACCCTGATAACTGAAAGATTTTCTTTTGAGCACTGGTGGCTCATGCCTGTAATCTTATCTTCTCAGGAGCAGAGAATAGGAGGGTTGAAATTTGAAGCCAACTCAGGCAAATAGTTTGTGAGATCCTATCTCAGAAAAAAAAAAACCCATCCCAAAAGAGGGATGGGTGGCTCAAGGTATAGACACTGAGTTCAAACCCCAGTACTGAAAAAAAAAAAAAGTACTGCAAAAAAAGAGATCTTCTTTAGTTGTATATTTTGTTTCAGTCATTCTAAAATTTGTGTTTTTTCCCCCCACACGTAGGTCTTTGTTCCATCAAGAATCTATAAGTGTGTGTGTGAGAGTGGTGGTACGAACGAGGTTTATAATAATTTTTTTGGATCTGACAAGGCAGTAGAAGAAATACCTATTCCTACTGAGGCATGAAGCCACCTTTACCACTTACCAAATCAGACCTCCATGTGTATTTGGGGCTTTCACTTATCTTCATTGCACTAATTAGTTACTCATACTTTAGGAAGGGCCTTGACTTTGGCAGAGCCATTTCCAGTTCCTCTGCCTCTTTTCCTTAGTAGAGCTATTCTCTACTACATGAACTGTTCATCATGCTCAAGTAAAATTCCTCCAGAGACTTGCATTATGAAGGCATTATTTTTATAGGTTAGATTTGTAAGAATTATTGTTTCAGTATAGATCTCATCCTTGAACCAGGTCTGGCTACCCACTTACTGAAGTGTCCTTTCAGGGCTTCAGTTTTCTTCAAGTACTTTTCACAAAGATAGTGTATAATTTTGGTTAGGTTTTGTTGTCTATTTTATATAAGATTTGAACACAGCTAATGTTTTTAGTTGGTTATTGTTTTAGGAAAGTATTGATTTGGGGTGTCAGTAGTTATTCATTCAGAAAATAATCATTAACCAGACACTTTGTTTCATCCATAAACAAAAAGACTCGACCCCAGCTCTGGTAATGCTTATGATTTGGTTATTTTTTCTTTTTTTTTTTTTTGGTGGTACTGGGACTTAAACTCAGGGTCTCATGCTTGCTAGGCAGGTGCTCTACCACTTGAGTCAGTCTTCCAGCCCAGTGCTTATGTTTAAAGCATCTGTTAACCCTGTTGAGCTCACACATTTTATTTTTTATTTATTTTATTTATTCATTTTTTTTGAAAGAGCTTTTAACTTGGTATGTAGCCTAGGCTAGCCTCAAACTTGACAGCCTCCTGCCTCAGCTTCTAGAGTGCTGGGATTACTGATGAGCACCACCATTCCTGGCTTAGTTTACATATTAAAAGAAAATGTCCATTTAATGTGAGGTGAAAAGTAACTAGGTGTTGCAGACAATCTGGAAAGACAGGATGGACCTCTGTCCAAAATGTAATTCTATGTTGAGACTAATGATACCTCACACATAGACCAAGAGGATAAAAGGTTTGTCATTCACAAAATAAAGCTTTGAGAGCAGGGCAGTCTTCCCAAGCCAGTCCAAAAACAGCTTAGGAGAGTAGGAAAAAGAGATGGGCTTTTATTATAATGAATGAATGGGGCTGGAGTAAGGGTGGTCTTATATTTGTTGGGGATTGCAAGGTTTGAACTTCCTGCTGGCACCAAATAGAAAGCACCCAGGCAGTCTTGTTAGATTGCCCAGATGTGAGGAGAGGGAGTGAATTTGTAAGCTGTCAGCAGTCAGTCATTAAAAATATAGTCAGACTCTTTGTCACACTCAGTAATCAGATGGGTGACTGTTAGGCTGAAAGTTGGTGGCAAATGATTTATTTTCCTTAAAAGTGGATTGTTTGACCAAAAGTTACCAGTAGTGGCCTACAGAGATGGTGGAGAGCCGTGTGAATGAGCATGGGGTGCTGAGGTCTGGAAACTGTTGATGTGAAGAATCTAAACATCCAGCCAGAGCAGATCCCTCTGCCAGGTTGCAGGGACTATAAAACCCATCAGACCTGGGGGTCTGGGGATGGATCTCTGTACAAGCTCAGCACATCACTGTGAATGTTTTCTCTCATGAAGTTTGTTTTATGGTGAGACAAGGCCCTGCTATGTAGTCTAGGCTGGCCTTGAACTCATGATCCTCCTGTTGTAGCCTCCTGAGTGCTGGGATTACAGGCATGTGCCATCACACCAGAATGTGTCTCATGAAATCTTGAAGTACTATAAATGTCTCAGGTGGGGTCTAGACCAGTGGATCTGACCCTCACAGACTCAGCACATTTTTTTATTTTTTACAAAACAACTTTATTGAGATATAATTCACATACCATGTAGTACATCTTCTTAAATGTACCATTGAGTAGTTTGCATTATAATCACTAGCTTGTATATATATCACCACAATCAATTTTAAAATATTTTCATCAACCTCCTCCAAAAGGAAACCTATACCCACTAGCAGTCACTCCCTATCTCTCCCATACCTCCCTGCCTCTGACAGGCTTGTTCTGGACAGTCCATATAAATAGCCATAGAATTTGTGGACCTTTGGATCTGGGTTCTTTGGCTTTGCAAAATGTTTTCTAGATTCAACCATGTTGTAGAATGTATGTTTAGTTTGCTCAGCTTTATTGATTCATAATATCCCTGTATGTATGTACATTTTGTTTATCCATCAGTTAGGGCACACTGGACTTTACTTTTTGGGTATTATGAATAATGCTGTGAACATTTATATACAAGTTATTTTTATGGACATTTTGTTTCTCCTGAGAAAGCTAGAAGTGGAACTGAATTATAGCTATCCTAGTGGGTCTGGAGTGATATCTCACTGTGTTGTGGATTTGCATTTTTCTGATAGTTAATGATGTTGAGAATCTTGCTTATTGGCCATCTGTATGTCTTTGGAGAACTGTCTATTCAGGTAGTTTATTCATTTATCAAATGGGTTATTTATCTTTTCATATTGAATTATAAGACCTAATGATGCTGGATACTGGCCCCTTTTGAGATACGTGATTTGCAAATGTTTCTCCTGTTTTGTGGGTGGTTTTCACTTTTTTTTTTTTTGGCTATACTGGGGTTTGAACTCAGGACCTCATGCTTAAGTCA